GGGCGTTACTGGCCCAGCGGAACGGGGCCCTCACACCGCAGCCGCCGCGCGGAGAGCGAGACCCCGTCGGGGCTGATGTCGGCCCTTGGTGGAGAGCTCTCCGAGCACACCCTCGGGGTTGCCGGGACTCACCGGCTCTTCCGACACGGCTGTGGGCAGCCCCGACTCTAGTGCTGCGCTCCGTGGAGCCGAGTGTAGACGACGAAGAGGAGTGGGTTGCTGGGGAAGGGATTGCAGAGCGGGGGAGGTGGTAGGAAAGGCCTTTTTGAGAAAGTGACGCTTTAAATAGAGGCTCGAGGGCCGGAGTGGTGTTAGCTGTGGCCGGAGTGTTCCAGGCTTGGGGGACAGCGTGGGAGACGCTCCCGGGAGGGCAGCGGGCTGATGGGCAGGTCCAGAAGAGGGCCGGGGACGTGTGTTCTGGGAGGGGCAAGAGCTTCGGAAGGTTTGGCGGGTACGAGATGGCGGAGGGGACCCTATGAGGCGTGCTGTGGGCTTCAGTTGTCTCAGGTGCAGTAATTTTCCACCGGTGAATTAACGTCTTGCCCTTGCCCGTGATCGGTTCCAGGTACATGTTGTTAAGGACTAAGTTCTAAGTAAAGCTCGATGCACAAGGGAGTTAAAGAGCAGCGAGGGACTGAGTGGAATCTCTCCGGGATAGTGTAGTCAATTAACGTGATTTAGCACCTGGTAACGGAGTTTTGTTTATGTCAACAAGTAAATTCAATAGATGAAATTGTTAAAGTTTACGAGGCTGTAATTTTCTCTGGCCACTGTGTACATTGAATATGGGAAGTCCCTGTCAATATGAGTCAGGATACGGATTAATGAAAACCTGAATTCCAGGTGAGGTACATAAACTTGGAATTAAAAGGACTGAAAAATAGCCCATCTCCTAATGGGAGCTGGTGCTTAGGCTAAAACTCCTGTTTTCCTCTTTGCTAGAAAACAAGAATTTGTGGGCCCAGGATGACCCCACACTTGATGCTCCCTGCAGTGTGTGTTTACTGGGACCCTCTGCATTGGAGATCCTGGTGACCGTAGTGAGGGCCGGCATTGCTTTCCTCCTCATTGTTTCTAATTCTTGTAGGTGACATTCCACTCTGCCAACTGTGTTTGGGACGCTTTCTCGTCATGGAGTTTCCTGATTTGGGGAAGCATTGCTCAGAGAAGACTTGCAAGCAGCTGGGTGAGCATTTTTAAGAGAACACCGATGAAGAATGGCTGTCTTGTGGGAAGAGCTGGCTACCGGCTTCATCAGCTGTTCTGTGGGTTTTGGCCTTTCTGGCTTCTCAGTAATGGGATGCTGGCCTGAGGTTTGGGTTGTGTTCAGCATTTTTATTTAGCATCTACCTACTGCCAGATGCAAGGCTGGCTGCCAGGGCCAAATGGATTTAAGTGCACAGCCTTAAATACGTGATACCATGAGAGATGGGATCTCTTTTGAAAAGATAGCTGTGCAGGTCTTCAGTGTCGGTGGAATTGTGAAGTTCATAACCCCCGGCTTTTTCTTGTGTGATACCTTGAGGAGAACTCAGTGAAAGTGAATACCTGTTTAATGTGATCTGTAATTCTTCGGTTCTAGTCTTTCAAATGGTTTACTATTTTGTTTTCAGATTTTCTTCCATTAAAATGTGACGCGTGTACACAGGATTTCTGTAAAGATCACTTCACTTATGCTGCACATAAATGTCCCTTAGCGTTCAAGAAGGTAAGTTGCCATGCTTGATTCAGAAGGTTCTGATCCTCACTCTCTAAAGCTGCTCAGTCCTAAATAGTGGATGCCAGCCACGCGTAGCTAATACTTTAAAATTAAAAAGAGTGCAGGGTATAGCTCAGTGTAGAGTGTGTGCTTAGCACGCAGGAGGTCCTAGATTCAAACTTTGGTATCTCCGTTAATTAATAAGTACGCCCCCCCAACATTTTTTTAATTAAATTGTAGAGTTTTTTTCCTCAGTTACACTGGCTACATTTCTGGGTTTGGTGACCTCCAGTGAAGACATGGAGATTTTCCACCATGGCAGGAAGCTCTGGACAGCACAGCTCTGAAAGCAGCAAGTTTTATTTCCTAATTGGAGTCAAATAGCTGTATCCAAATCTTCCAAGCGTACTTCACACGTTAAAACACTTAGTCCTTTTGATTCAACACACCAGGGAAAACAGCGGTCTTCACGAGGCCCAGGAAGCACAGCGCGGTGCTCGGCGCATGTCTAGTCTGGTAGGGATTAAGGATGCTTACTTGCCTGGGTAGCCTTGACATCCTGTTTAGGTGACTCAAACAGTGCCAGGCAGGAACTGAAAGATGGCTGTAAGGAAACTGACTTGCGTGAGTCTGGAGGTTTAAGGCTTTGATTGTTCCTTCTCACGTGGTCCTGGCCCGAGTTCACTTTGGTTCCGGGCACTCCACGGTGTCCGCACCCTGCTGCTTTGCCCTGTGCCGGTTAGAGATGCAGGCGACTTAACTTTCCGTGCTTTGACCAGTGCTGGCTGGAGTCTGACCCTTGGCTGTTTTCATCAAGGGGGCAGGGAGGGTGACTCGTGTTTACCTGGCACTGGTGACCCGCCCTACTGCCTGGTTTGTAGACAGGACCTTCTGCCGTCCCTCTGTGGGGAGAGTCGGCCTGGAGGTCACCCGGTAACACTTTCCTTGACTTGGCGGACTGGCCACCGCAGGCGCACTCCTGGGGGCCTTTCCAGCTCAGATGCAGACAGTAGGCCTCCAGGATCCTGTGACGACCTGTCACTTGTCACCTCGGTGTTTTCGTCGGGCTGAGTTTGTTCGACTTCTGCGGTGGCTCGAAGGTCTTTTTGACGGTGCTGGGCATTCGGCTGCTGGGCGCCCCCTCCAGTCCCTCTGGGGCCCGGTCTTGGGATGGATGACGGCTGTGTCCCCGAGAGCTCAGACGGGCCGTGTGCTTCCCAGACTGAGGAGCGAGACTCCCGTGTGGGCACGTTGGCTGGCCGTCTTAGGGTCATTTCCATGGGTAGTCAGTAGTCCGTTCCACTTCAACTCCACTAGACTCAGGAGACTTTGTCCTCGGGTTCCAGGGACGCCTCGCTGTTAGTCCACTGTGCCAACCGAGTACCCGCATCGTGAGCGTCCCGTCAGTGCCTGTGCTGTTTGCCTTTGAACGCGCTGTGCCGCTGTACCTTTTCCTTCTGTGAATCTTGTCTGAATCTGGGATACCGTCTCATGTTCATTACTTGCAGGATGTTCACGTGCCCGTGTGCCCCCTGTGTGACACCCCGATCCCAGTAAAGAAGGGAGAGGTGGCAGATGTGGTGGTTAGTGAGCACATGGATGGAGACTGTAAATCCCATCCCGGAAAGAAGACAGACAAGGTAAGGACGGGCTCCATGTCCGCTGCGGGTGCCCGCGTCCCTGGAGGGGAAGGGAGGCCTGCTGTGTAACCTGCTGGTTGGTTGGGTAGTTCTTGTGCAGAATAAAGCCCTAGCGGTTTGTCATCAGCTGGGGCTCACAGCCACGCGGGCGTGCTCTCTGAATGCCGGGGTCTGCGCTGGGCGCTGCCTTCTTGACAGGAGCCTCGCTTTTTCCTCCAGGGAGGGAGCTGGTGTGGCCTCTAGACCCGCTCTGCTAGCGCATGCTTTCCTCCTGAGCCCCGTCTAGGGAATGCAAAACGACGTGAGATTCAGACGCTCAGTGCTGTCACTCAGGTGGTGTCAGGATGTTTATTGAAGTCGCAGGTTTGTCCGTCTGGAGAGACAGCAGGTCCCGCCCCACAGCAGCTGCTCTCCTGGTAGCCCGTCTGGCTTGCTGGGGCTCCCCCCTTTCCTCACCTGCGTGTCTTCTGTGGCATTTCTCTCACCCACTCTTCAGTGCTCAGCGGTGCCTGTCCGCCCTGCTAGCTGGGCGCTGGGCTTCTGGCCGAGTGTCCGGGCCCCAGCACCTGGAGGTCACAGCTGGGGCGGGCCCTGTGTGTTTCTCTTAGGATGGGGCCTCCCTTCTGGTGTCTCCCACCAGCATCACGGGGGCCATAGTGTTCTCTGTCCTGTGTTGCCCCCCGATCTTGGTGGAGGCGCACGGTCCGCCGGCTTCCTGCGGGCCAGCACCCGCTCATACTTGCGGACGTTGGCAGGCCCTGGTGGTTGTCTTGCTTTTGCTCACCTGTGCGCGTGGCCCCCCAGCCCCCTGCTGACTTCACACGAGGCCCTGGCTCCACCGCACCTTCTCCGGGCCTGGCGGGGCTCTGCTCGCTCTGGGTTCGACCCAGGTTGGCCTCAGGGTGTAGGGGCCATGGTGGGGGTTTGGACAGGCAGGCCGACCTGCCCTGTCCCCAGGCCCCTGGAGCCAGCTCCCTCCAGGACAGTGTCGGATGCCACCTGCTCGGCCTCCTCCCTCCACGTCCCGTCCCCACTGCCCTGGGTCTGGTCTCATTCCTGGAGAAGCCCAGTCACCTCCCAAATCTGCGACCTAACACGCTGTCTGTGCTTGTCGCCTGTTAGAACTTCCCTGTCTCCTCAGTCAACTTCTCTGTCCCCTGGCAGAACCATGTTTCGGGGAAACCTTGACGTCTCCGTTCTGTTTAGCCAAGAACGTTTCTAGTGTAAACATTAACGGTCTCGTTGGAGGACTTGGCAGATAGCTGCTCCTTGCAGCAGGGGAAACGTAGCAGCACCGTGTGCTTTTTCAGATTTTCACGTTCCGGTGCTCGAAGGAGGGCTGCCGCAGGAAGGAGATGCTGCGGCTGACCTGTGAGCAGTGTCGCAGCAGCTTCTGCATCCGGCATCGCCACCCCCAGGACCACAGCTGCCAGCGCGGGAGCCGCCCCATCGGCCCAGCCGGGTGAGGCGCCAGCTCACGCCGCGGGGCGGTCAGACTGGGAGCGTCCTTCCAGCCACGTCGTTGGTGCTGAACATTTGCTGTGGGAGTTCAGATGAGTGTAATCCCAATTAAAATCAGATGCCACACTCAGGCTGGATTCTAGTCACTGCGGAGGGGGAGCTCCCTGTCGGGTCCTCTGGGGCCAGGGTCCTCACTCCCGTGCCAGAGGGCTTAGCCTCTCCCAAGGCCCCGAGGAGGGTCTGGCCTGGGCCTCCCCCTGCGCTGCTGGTGGCTCTGTCTCTTGGCTTGGGGACTCATCACCCTGGTCTCTTATCTTCCCACAGCGTCTCCCTGTATGTCAGTGTCCAAATGCCCACTTTTTAAAAAGATTTTTATTTTTTTGAGGGGAGGTAATTAGATTTACATATTTGTTTTTAGAGGATTTACTGAGGATTGAACCCAAGACCTTGTGTATGTGAAGCACGCACTTTACCACTTGAACTATCCCCTCCCCGCAAACGTCCACTTTTTATAAGGACACTGGTCATGGGATTGGGGTCCCATGCGCCCCACTGTGAGCTCTCTCCCTGTGTCTCCGACCAGTCTGCTTCCAAATATGGTCCCATTCTGCTGTCCTGGGGTGTCAGACCCCACCGTCTTCGACGGGACCGTTCACCCCCTTCCCTGGTGTTCTTACCAGGGGCACTTTCCTCGGGCCAGGGGGACACCTGCCTGAACCCACTGTGGGACAGCAGTGGAGCCCCGCGGCTGTCTGCCCCATCAGGCCGCCTCCCACGTGGTCTGTGCCTGACCAGGTAGAGGCTGCCGGGGCCGCATGTGCGGCCCTTTAAGAGCAGCAGGGCCGGGGAGCGCGGACTTAACCTCTCTGTGTGGTGGTGGGCTGCCAGCCGGCTGGCACAGTGGCTCAGGGACATCCGAGCGGCGAGCACCATGCCGACCTGCTGTCGGGGATGCGGGCCTTTGTCCCACTAGGGGTTGAAAGCAGCCACCGTGCCGTCAGTGACAGGCCCCTCGAGCCGCCTGCACCGTCAGTTGCAGCTCGACTGGAAAAGGGTGGAGCAGGACCCGAGTTCGATGTTTCTCGGGCCTCAGGCGCACGTCTGCCCCTCCAGCCTGGGCCAAGCGCTGGCACCCCCTCCAGCCAGTTCCTGAAACCCCGACTTCATGCCTGTCTGTTGCCAGCCAAGCCCTTTAGTTCGCCAGGACGAATGTAAAAATGCGCTCTTGTCTCGTCCCCTTTCAGGTGGGAAGTGAGGCAGTGACGTGACCAGGTCTGCCCACTGCTGCCCTTCTGCCCATTAATTGTCATTCTGGGTAATTCTTATACTGCATTACTGACCCCCTTGTCACGGCAAGCAGCCCTGCCCAGGCCAGTCGGACAGGGGCCCAGGCTTCTGGAAGCTTCTGTCACTTAAACCACCAGAGCTGATTTCACTGTCTTCATGACGTGGCTTCCGTGGTGATCGGCCACCTGGGCCCAGGCAAGGGCTGGGGACTCACGCCCACCCTGTCAGGGGTCCTTGTCCAGAGGTGGCCCCGCCCACCTCCCCCCTTCCCGGGGAGGAACAGCCCAGGGCCACCTGATGGCGGGCATTGGGCTGACAGCTGGGTCCCTGGTTGGTACCCGTCCCTGAGAGCCTCATTTCCTGGGACCCTGGGTGTCGGGGGACAGGACAGGACAAACTGCCATCCTGTGGGTCTTGATCGTGACCCGTGGGTCATCCAGCTGGACGTCCCCGACGTCTCCACATTAACAAGAATCTGAGCAGTTACTCTCTTTTCTGGTTTTGTAGCCTCAAAATACAGTGCGGGGTTGGGGGCTCTACAGGAATATGATGAAGCCGTCTCCATGCCCTGTCTTGCGGTACTGGCGTGACCCGTGGTCCTCACGCTGGCGCCCACCCCAGCATCCCTGCGGGGGCCTGTGACAACAGTGTTGTGCCCACCCCGAGTCCCTGGCTCTGTGGCTGGCCGGACCCCCAGTGCTCACACTTTTGGGCCTGGGGACGCTGCCACCGGCCTGGGGGCCACGCGGTGCCGAGCGTCTCTCCACTGTCTGCTGTTCCCAGTGACAGCCATGAGCCTCTCCAGCTCAGGACGCGTGAGACTCGCCAGCGCAGCTGCGGGGCTGGGACTCGGTTCTGTTACTGGGAAACAGACTGAAGTTTGTCGGGAACTTGAGTGCAAGTCTGTTTCAACTGTGAATTTTATGGAATCTAAAAACAGACCCCATCTTTCTCGTGAAAGGTTAATGTTCAAATGGAGAATCTAAAACACACCGGGTTTGGGAGACAATACCAGAGGAAAAAAGGAAAATCTCTCATTGTTAAAAATATTTACAGGTTGAGATGGTGTTTTCGATATGATGGATTAAAGGAAACATTAAAGTGAATTTTACCTGTTTGTTTTGTTCTTTTAATTGTAGTTATTAGAAGTTGTAAAAACAGGTTGGGGGCTTGCATTCTGTTTCTGTTGGCGCTGTTCTCACTCGTCCAACCTGGATGGTCCGCTTGGGGTCCGCGTGTCTGTCTCCCCTGTACCTGGAGCATTTCCGTGCTTTCTAAGAAGCTGGAAGCACTGAGTGTTCTCCATGAAGCCCCGTGTGAAGAGATGTCGAAAGGGCACAGGAGGGTGACGGGGTGACGGGCTAGGAAAGCATGGTGCTGCTCACATCCTGAAGCTCCTGCCACCACAGAGGGGGAGGTCGTGGTCTCCCCACCGCCTTGACCGCGGCGGGGCGTCTCCCCGGCGGTCTCCCGGGTGGGGATGCTGGCGGTGCTGCCGTCCCTCTACTGTCTGCCGGTGACGAGTTTCCTGGATGGCACTGCTGTGCTGAGGGAGACGTGTTTCAAGGTTTGATCAAACATGCCAAGTTGCTGTCCAAAAACTCATACCAACTTCCTCTCCATCGATTTCCCCGCACCCTCATCAGCTGTTTTATTGGTTTGGTTTTTTTCCCTAATGTGACAAAAACACAGTGTTACCTTGCTTTAAATGTACGTCTTTAATGAGCGAAGTTGAGCGTCTCCTGAGAACTGCCCGTCTGAGGAGGTTAAGCGAAGGGAATCAGCTAGGGTGGCCGTGTGCCAAGGGACTGGGAGGCCAGTGTATTGTAAATTTTCATAGAAAATGCTCATGTTAGGAGAGAGTTTGGAAAATTGTGCTTTTTTGGGAGGAGGCTTAGCAGAGAGTCCTGTGCTCTGTTCCCATATGTCTGGGGAGGGAAGGGGCTCACTTCCCTGGCTGCTGGGGGGTTCGGTGGGAATGTTCGCACAGCATGAGGTGGCAGACGGCCCCCTGGAGCTGCGACGGGGTGAGGTGGTCCCGGCCGTGTGGTGAGTGAGCTTGGCACTTTGTGTAAATGTTGGCTGAGGTTTCTGTCCTACGAAGAACAGCCATGGGTGGGGTTGGGTGACAGCGCTGGGCACCTACTTAGCGACACAGAGGGTGTCACAGACACCCTGTCCCCTGACGGAGAAGCCCCGGGAGCACAGGCTGAAAGTTTCAGGTAGACATGGAAGCTTCGCTGAGGGAACCAGGCTCTGTCCTGGGGCATTGGTGCCCAGCCTTGGGTCCCCCTGCTCTGCTGGACGAGTGAGGGGGATGCCAGCCTTTTCAGGGAGTCTGCCGTACCTTTCAAGAGAGAATTTTGGGTCCGGCTCGTGGTGTGGGGAGTGAGAGCCAGTGGATATGCTGGATGTTTTCTCTGCTGCTGGGACAGCCGCGTCGTCGGGACCCGAAGTCCTCACCCGCGGGTGGAGACACCCGTTCTGCCACGGGGGCCCTCCTGCTTCTCTGGAGTTTCGGAGCCTGGCTGCGTTCGGGGTTCCCAGGACCGGTCCTGCTAGCCAGGCTGGCGCGAGGGCTGCAGTACCAGCCACGCCCACCAGGTGTCAGCTGAGGGCCTCCTGTGACGCGGGAGAGGGAGGTCTGTGACCTTAGTTCCGGGTGGGAAGCGCCCTGGATCGGGGAAGAAGGGGTGCGACCAGCCCACCTGTCCTAAGTCAGTGTTTGCAGGTTACTCTTGTTAGTGTTTTACATATTTTCAACCAAATTCGACAAAGATGGCCATCATTCAAAAGTCCCCAAATGGAGAACGCTGGAGAGGGTGTGGAGGAAACGGAACCCTCCTGCACTGCTGGTGGGAATGCAGTTTGGTGCAGCCACTGTGAGGACAGTATGGAGGTTCCTCAAAAAACTAAAAATAGACTTACCATATGATCCAGCAACCCTACTCCTGGGCGTATATCCAGAGGGAACTCTAATTCAAAAAGACACCTGCACCCCAATGTTCACAGCAGCACTATTTACAACAGTCAAGACATGGAAACAACCTAAATGTCCATCGACAGACGACTGGATAGAGAAGCTGTGGTTTATTTATACAATGGAATACTACTCAGCGATAATAAAGAATAAAATAATGCCATTTGCAGCAACATGGATGGACCTGGGATCGTCATTCTAAGTGAAGTGAGCCAAAAAGAGAGAAATACCATATGGTATAATTTATATGTGGAATCTAAAAAAATGACACAAACATTCACAAAACAGAAAGAGACTCAGACATGAAAAACAAACTTACAGTTACCAAAGGGGAAAAGTGGGGAGGGATAAACTGGGCGTTTGAGATTTGCAGATACACACTACTGTGCATAAAATAGACAAACAAGGTCCTACTGTACAGCACAGGGAACTGTATTCAATAACTTATAATGGCCTGCAATAAAGTAGAGTATGAGAAGGAATATATACATGTATAACTGAACCACTCCGCTGTGCACCAGACTTTAACACAAGATTTTAAACTGACTATAGTTTAATAAAATAAATAAGTAAAATAAAATAAAAACAAAGATGGCCGAGGGCCAGGGGAGCCTGGAACTGAAGACAAACAAGTTGAACACAAATACCTTTTACATGAATAACAACCACATTAAATGAGGAACAAACACTTCATGGTGGTGAGAAACATACGACATAAAATTCACCATTCTAAGCATCTAAAAGTGACTGATTTAGCAGCATTTAGTACGTTCACAGAGTTGGGCAACCATCACCGCCATCTAGTTCCAGAGCATCTTCATCGCCCAAAAGGAAACTTTGAACCCGTTAAGCACTCAGGCTGTTCTCGTGCCCCGAACCCCCACCTCCAGCCTCCGGTCGTCACTCGTCTGCTTCCTGTCTCTGTGGACTTGCCTGTTCTGGACATTTCCTATGAATAGAATCATACACTATCTTGTGCTTCGTGACTGGCTTCTTTGACAGTATAATGTTCAGGGTTCATCCAGGGTGTAACAGGTATCAGAACTTCACCCCTTTTCATGGCTGAGTCATGTTCCCTTGGGTGGGTGAGCCGCATTGTGTTTCTCTCTTCATCCGCTGATGGACATTCGTGTGCTCTAGTCCCTCCTCATGGGCACCAGCAGCCCCGAGGAGCCATGCCCTGGAGAAGGGCACTAGCCAGAACTCCTGAGGCCGCTGGCTACAGGATTTGAGTTGGCACCAGCCCCAGTGGTCCTGGCTCCCCTGATGAGTGAGCTGGACAGAGTCCAGGTCACGAGTGGAGTCCTGGCCCAAGTCTGTCTCACAGTCGATCTGGTGAACACGCAGACTCGCTCTGGTCATTCCCCCACCTCTATGCAAGTTGGGGTGCATGTCCTTACTTACTAATTGACAGAAGCTTCCCATTGGAGCTCTGATTTGTGGAGAAGAGCCATCATTGTAACAAAGGCCCAATGGAAGCCTCTCAAGATGCCCTTGCTGGCCAGGAGTGCCCATGAGAAGCAGTACCTCATCCTGGGTAGGATGGAGAGCGCAGGGCCTCCCTCAGATACTAGGGGGCTAGTATTGGAGTTCTAGTATCCATTCTATAGATGCTCTATTCTATATGGTTCTGTAGATTTCAGGCAGCCCCAAATCACAGCTGCTGGGTTACAAGCTGTGTGTAGTGCCTACTGGCACAGAGCTAAGTCACATCCAATGCCTGGCCCACAGAGACTGTGAGATCATACCTGCTTGTTGTTTTAAGTTGCTAAACTTTGTGTTAATTTTTTTATCCATTTATTTATTTATTTGCAGGAGGGAGGTAATTAGGTTTATTTGGTTTTTCAGTGGAGGTGCTGGGGATTAAATCCAGGACCTCGTGCATGCTAAGCATGTGCTCTACCACTGAACTAGACCCTCTCCCCATATTTGTGTTAATTTGTTGTGCAGGAATAGAGAACAAACACACCCATCTGCCACGAAGAAACAGCCCCGCTCTCCTTGCTTGGCTCCTTCGGGGTGGGAGGCAGCATAGATCTTATTTAATACAACCACCACCCATTTTGGGGGTAACTTGGAAGCCCCTTGCTTTCTGGGAGGCGAAGCTGAGGCTCGTTCTCCTGGCCCCCTGCTTGGCTGCTTTGTGAATAAACGTTCTGTTTGCTGCAAACCTCAGGGTCTCAGCATTTCTGCTTGCTGTGCTTCCGGCAAAGTGAACCTGGTTCTGAAACACCTGGAACCATCTGCTGTCCGACCCGTGAAGTTGCGCTGGGTGTGCGTCCAGTTACTCTGGCAGTGGTCCGTTGTTTCTCTCGGCTTTCTACCACATTGTGTTGTCCCTTGTGGACAGAGCTGTTTTCTCTTGAGCACTGGACGTAATATATGAGCAAATATAATCTGGAGCGTAGGGTATTCCGGTCTTCTGGAAGGACTGAACCTTCCCTGCTTTCAGCGGGCTGGTGGCACCAGCAACAAATCCTGAGTCCCTGCAGCGCAGTTGCAGAGCTGAGGTGAATTCAGCATGGGTTTTATGAGGTCCTTGTGAGGGCTGCCCTGTTCATCTTCACTCCTGCAACGGAGCCTCTCATGGTTTCAACCAAATGGGACACCCACAAGAATGCGTCTCCTTGGCAGCCCATAAAGCTAACAAAACCTTTGTTTAGCTCTCAGATTTTCAGCTGTTTCTTCCAGAATTGACTGCCCCTGAGTGAAAACGCCCTAACTATAAGACCAGGACTTCTCTGGGTTTCCTTCCCACCCCCACCCATTTTTTGGTCCCATTACATTTCACGTCAAATTAGCACTCTGATGTCATAAAACATAACTTGGTACATTTTTTGCTCTATAGGTATTTGTTACATATATTTTGACCGTTTTTAAAGCTGCTCTCAATGGGAGGCTGATCTGAATCACCTCTCCCTACTAGAGCTAAAAAATGAAGCCCAAAGTAAACAATACATGGTAAATATATTTATTATTAAATTTTATACATTTGACCTTATGTATGGATGAGAACCTCTTTTTTTCTCCCGGCGGGTCGCGAAGGCAGTAGGAGCAGTTTGAAGTCGTAATGGTGTTTCCTGGAGTCAGTGAGACTGGACGTGCTTCCACCTGCGGCCCAGAAGC